ACCCGAAGGGTCACGCCACTCTCAGTCACACGAACAGTCCTCAACTCACTTAGATGGTCGCAACTTTTAGAATTGGGGATTCGAGTTCGACACGGAAGTTTCACTTCACCTTAACAAGGTTCTCGCCATCATTGAGCTTGGTTTCAACTTGCTATCACAAGCACAGCTGATGGAAAGCGACATCTGTTTCGTCAGCACCGCCAACACGATGCTCACGAAGTTGTACCCGAGAGACAAAAAGGAAGGCAAAAATTGGCATCGTAGAAATCAAAGACGGCATTTCAGTTCTACGATTTTCACCTGTGAAAGCCTTTGGCGACAGTGAGAATAACATCTCACTCGCTCCTTGGCATCATCACTAGGAAATAGATCGCCAACACCAAGATCATAATGGACTAAACATTTTCTGTGTCACGCCTCAACCTTCCTGTACAAACTCCCTTGACGAACCTCCAGCAGAGACAACAGAAGCAGCATCAGCAGCAGCAAAAACAGGTCAAGCTACATGGGTATGGGCTCCTAGAGATGGTAGCTGGGGTTACGATAATCAAGAGCCATCTGCTACAGTCGAAGAACCTATGGAGATTGAACACACATGGGGCAAGAAAGATTTCATTGTACCTGATGCTTAGGCGCGTCCCCGACACCACGGTATCCCTTGGGCTGAAACCGCAGAAGAAGCCGGATTCATCTGCCAACGATTCATCTTTCGTCGACCTTCTTTCTTCACTCCGACTTGTACCTGCGTTCAAAAGGACATAGGACTATGGCAGAAATCTGGCACAAGCGGTTAGGTCATCCTCGCAAGAAGCTCTTAACAACTCGATTAAAGCCTCAGTTTTCGACAAGAACGCTCTCCTTTTAACCAACGGCCAAAAGCTTCGACTCAGCAGTTGCCAACTACCCTGCATCATCTGCCCCGGCGCTCACCTGAGTCATGCTCCGTTCCCGTCGCACTTCCCGTCCGCTCACCGATGGACGTCGTATTCAGCGACATCCTCTTCATGCCGCAGGAAGCGAACGACATCAGCGGCAATGATTATTGTTATATAATTGCATGGTCCAATACCGACCTCCGAGCGCAACTGTGGATAGATTCACCGAAAGGGCTCAATGGGGACTACACCTCGGTGTACCTAAAGATTCCCACTCCTGGATAATCATGGATTATGAAACTCGGAAGGTTTGTATGCCCGCGATTGCATCTATAGAAAATTATTTCTCAATGACTTCGAACGCGACAAGGAATGCCAGCAACGGGATCCAGATCGCTACAGTGCCGAACGGAGTTTCACCACCCCTCAAAACAAAGCACAGCCAAAGAATATTATCCGCCCGACAGCACAGCAGTAAGACATTCTATAGTTCCGCAGCGGTCCCCATCAGCAGCTGAACCTAGTCCTTCGTCACATAAAGAACCATTGTTCGAGTCCTATATTCCTTCGACACGTGCGTACGGCACAGAAACCCTGCTCCTCATTCCACTCTCGGACCCGTCGCATCCTGCCATGACACGGGCTGCCTATAGTTATGAGGAGCACCTGTGCCGACACAAAACTGACGCAGTTTCACAAGGCGGTGCCCGTCATCTGAAATCCAAAATTGACGATAATGATGTCCTCGAAGTTTCCAAACCATTTCCTCGTGCTTATCAATCGGCTCTTCAAATCCTCAGACTTGCTGTCGCAGTTCAGCAACCAATGGCCGGGATCGACGGAAAACATTTAGACACGCCCTCTCCGTCTCTGATACTGACTAGTGGCGAGCTGCCATGGATGCAGAGGTAGCAGCTCTCGAGAAGCGGAAAACATGGAAATTGGTTCCACGAGAAGCAGCACAAGGCAAGAAGATTCTTACGGGCAAGGGGATCTTTCTCATAAAGACAAATGCAGCAAGCAAACCAGACAGATTCAAGGGGAGATAGGGTGTTCGAGGTTTCTATTAGGATTAAGGACGGAGTCTAGGTGAACTTAGGAGCTAGAATTACTCAAAATATAAATCCAAAATTAGGGACAGAAATGTCATCTCCACAAGAAACGTCGTCGACAAAAACATAGCCGTTGAAATATCGCAAAACGCAAATATGTTGTACCATTTAATCGCAGCTACCGTTTCTGATTCGAATCATGTTAATTGATGGAGTATTCGCGATGCTATGCCTTTCGACGCACTAGGGGGTATGCTGTAGGAGAAGAACTTCACGCAGTCTCAAAGGTCTATCAAAGTCCAATCAATGTCACAAGGAATTAGAGGAGCAAAATAAAGGTTGGAAGGGAAGAGATGGATGAGAGGGAAGGTTCCAAGTGAGTCCCCAACCAAGGAAACCCCATAAGCACAAAGTTCCCTCCCTATAGGAACCCCAACTTTGACCTTTGTCCCTTCCCAACCAATCCAACCAAGTTGGCCACCCTTGCCAACCTAACTTGGTTGTTCCCAACCAATTTGCAGCTGCTACAGTAGAGTGACGAATTTCCCAACTCCATATTAAGTCACCCCACAACTTCACTTTGTAACCACCGCAAATCTAACGCAAGCTTATAAATTTTGAATCTTCGTAGCTTTAGCGTTCTTTCTCGGATTGAAGCGATTCTTCTTGCATTGGAAAGATCTTCTCAAGATATATCATAAAAAATACATGCTCAGATAGAATAGCACAAAAGACATTCCCAAACTCCAGAACACACCACACAAAAAATTCTTGCACACGTTGAAACCACACCTGCAAGTTGAAAGCATGGGATGAGAGGCAGACAGAATGTGATAGCATATGATGACATCACACAAAAATCTCCCCCTCTGGCTGCCAAACATCATCCATCATGCCACATCTCAAGCATGCATACTCAATGCACACTCATCCCAGCAAGCTTCATGCCCTTCCAATGATCCGCCTCTGCCAGACGCTTTGTGAAAACATCGGCTGCCTGCTGATGGGTCTTCACTATCTCCAACCGCACCTCCTTATCAAGGAGTCTCCTCACCCAATGCAACTTAGGCCTTATGTGTTTTGTCAGCCCATGCAGACAAGCATTCTTTGCCAACTTCACCGCAGATTCATTGTCACAGAAGATAATTGTCGGCTCCTCTTGACCAACTCCCAACTCCTCGAAGAAACGCCTCAGCCACACCACATCCTTGGCCCCATGGTGTAAGGCCATGTACTCAGTCTCACATGAGGAAAATCCCACTTCATTCTGCTTCTTGCTGCGCCAGCTGCACCACCTCCCAGCAAGCACACATAACCCCCAATGCTGGTGCGATTCGCTTTCACTGAGTTCAAGCTAGCGTTATTATAGCAACTAAAGAGCATCTCTCCATTCTTCACAGCACCCTCTCTGCAACCGCTGCCTCACTCCACTGTACTCCAATCCCACTGATGCCGTAGCACTCACATAGCAAACCAACCTCTTGGCCGCTTCCAGCTGCTCATGACTCGGGCGTGAAACCACGCTAGCCATTTGTGATGTAGCAAATACAATGTCGAGCTGTGTATGATTCGCAGCATAGTTCACCGACCCAACCATCGAATGAAACAACTTCCTTTCACTCCGCCAGCTGATGACTCCGCTACCAAGGGTGAAGCAGTACCCTTGGGAGGAGCGTCTGTCAGCCTGGTCATCGGCCCATGAGGAGTCTGTGTATCCATCGAGCTTGACTGGAGAGGTACCACCAAGAGTGAGGATGTGAGACTTGGTGGCTTGTAGATAGCGGAGGACCCTCTTGGCTGCAGACCAATGCGAGGCAGTGTAGCGTCCGGGGGAGACGTACCGAGAGAGGACACTAACCGGGTAAGCCAAGTCTGGTCGAGTGCACATCATGGCATACATGAGTGAACCGACTAGCTCAGGGTACGGGTCCTTGCAGGCGTCAGGAGAAGGAACTGGAGGGGCCGTGAGCTGATGCTGTAGTGGGAGTGGAGTGGAGACAGAGTTACTGGAGTCCATGTCGAACCGCTTGAGAAGGTTGTCGATGTAGGACTCCTGGGAGAGGGTGATCGTTGGTCACGAGTGATCTCCATCCCCAGGTAGTTCTTGAGGTCACCAAGATCCTTCATGAGAAGGGCGGAGCTGAGAGCAGACTGGACAGCTGCCATGTCGGCTGGATCTCTGGCGGCTAGAATGAAGTCGTCGACGTAGACGAGGATGTAGAAGGGCTCGGAGGAGTGACGAACGAAGAGACTGGAATCTGAGGCAGAGGGATGGAAGTCAAGTGCGAGGAGGACTTCCTTCACCTTGTTGTGCCACTCACGAGGAGCCTGCTTGAGGCCATACACTGGGCGCTTCAGCTTCCACACTGTGTTGGCAGGGTAAGTGCCAGGAAACCCCGGTGGGCGTTCCATGTGAACATCCTCCTTGAGCTGGCCTTGGAGAAAGGCGGAGGAGGCGTCCATGGACTTGATCTCGAAGTTGCCGCGAGCGGCTATATCAAGAAGAGCGCGCACAGTCGGGAGCTTGGCCGTGGGCGAGAATGTTTCGAAGAAGTCGAGATACTCCTTCTGGGTGAAACCCTTCGCCACGTATCGTGCCTTGAACAGTGGAGCTTCGCCTGGGAGTTGTTTGACTCGGAAGATCCATTTTCCGCCGACGATGTTGACACCGGGGGAACAACATCGTCAAAGCTGTTGTTGCGAATGAACGCCTCGTTCTCACATCCATTGCTGCCTTCCACTCCTTCTTATAAGGCCCCGAGAGAGCTTCCTCTTTTGTGCGAGGAGTCGGAATGGTCGGGTTCTCGGTGAAGTTGGAAGGGCAGTCAGTAATGTCCGGGAAGATGTGAGAGAGAAATTGGCAGACCGCGTGAAGGTCAAACAGCTCCTCATGCCTGTCCTCCAGAAGTGCACGGGGGGAATACGGATGGAGGGGACATCACCCCGGCAGGAGGCGGGGTGACCGAACACCGGATGGAGAAGGCGGCTGGTCCCCAGGCGAGAGCGGAGCCGGTCCCTTGGAACGAGTGCGACTAGAGACCGGAGACGAAGGCGGCTGCGGTGGGACCGGAGGGACTGGGCGCCTCCGATAGGAGACTGGTGAGCCGGGCTCGACGCGGGGAAGGCGGAGCAGGAGGAGGTGCCGCTGCGGAGGATACTGGGGAGCCGGGTGAGACACGCCGGACGGAGAAGGCCCGGAGAAGGGGCAGCGGCCGGAGGTGGGGCATCGAAGTCTGCCCAAACAAGCGTCGGGGGAGGTGGAGGAGGCTCGCCCGTGGTCGCAGAGTGGAATGGGCGTGTCTCATCGAAGACGACATCACGGCTGCGAATCAGCTGTCTGGTGATTGGGTTGAGGAATAAGTAGTCTGGGGAGTCGGAGTTGTGCCCCAGGTACATGCAGGTCTGGGTTTTGGGACCAAGCTTGCCACCTTGCTTCCTGCGCGTGTGGGGCTTAGCAACACATACGCGGTACACCCCCAGACGCGTAGAGAGCGGGCGGAAGGCGTGACCCCAAGCCAGAGAGCGGTAGGTGTGGTGTCGGGCCGGTGGGGATGCGGATAAAGATTGTAGAGGAGTGCCGCATGGAAGAGGGCATATCCCCAGAGTGACCGTGGTGCGTTGGCGTGACTGAGGAGGCAGCGAGCGATCTGAACCAAGGTGTGGTTGCGGCTCTCTGCAATGCCGTTCTGCTGCGGGCTTTCGGGGAGCGTGAAGGTTTGCCGAATCCCTTGGGCCGCACAGAAGTTATCGAGTTTGCCATTGCGAAATTCTCCCCCGCCATCAGAATGGAGGCACTTCAGAGGGTTGCCGAACGTGACTTGAGCCTGGCGCACCCACGCCATGATGACATCATGGTGCCTCCGCCTTGGTATGCAGGAGGTGCACAGAAACATACGCGAGTGGTCATCGACTAGTGTAAGAAAGTACCGATGACCGCCTCGGGATGCGACTGGGGCTGGGCCCCAGACATCCATGTGCACTAGGTCCAGCGGAGCAGCTGCGACGGATGGGAAGGAAGGGTGCGGCTGCTGCCTGAGCTTGCTCTTGGTGCAGTCCAGGCAGGTGGGTGCAGGTGAGTCTGTTGGTGGAGGAAGCGCCGACGGGAGGCCAAGAAGAAGTTTCTTGGAAGCAATGTCGGCAAGTGTACGGAAGTTGGGGTGACCCAAGCGATGGTGATAGAGGATGGTTGGGTTGGCGAAGCTGCGACACGAACACCGAGTGGTGCTGGCACCTTGCGCTTGGGAGAGGGCGGCGAGAGGTGCAGGTGAACGCAGCGTGTAGAGCTTGCTACTGTTGAGTGTGAAGCGTGCTAGGAGCTTGTTGGACTTAGGGTCGAAGAGGTCACAGTGATCCGAGTGTGCTGGGAATATCGTGGTGACGACTGCCCGTTGGAGCTCGTGTTGGGCCACGAGATTGTGGCGTAGTTTGGGAGCACACATGCCAGTCACACTGCCCGAAGGAAAAGCTGGGCACGGAACTGTGGAGGAGCCCTTGGCATGTGTTGTGAAACTGGAGTCTGCTCCTAGTAGACGGATTGGTGTCTCGTATGGCTTGAAGGAGTGTTCTTCCTTGAGAACCGTGTGAGTGGCCCCACTGTCGAGGGTGAACTCTATTGTGGCTGAGGTGCTTTGTGAGCCGGGACACTGCGAAATTGTCTCATTAATCATGGCAGTGCCAGGGAACAACATGTGGAGGCGCACATCAGCAGTGGGAGCTACAGCAGCCTGCACGGATTCCTGCGCTTCGACTTGATTGACTTGGCGAGGAGCACGATTGACCATCCAGCTTGGCGGCTTCGAGGCGGTCCCATTGACGGCATACCAATCGTCATCCTTTTTCTTGAAGCAGGTGGCAAGGGCGTGGTTGGTGCCGCCACACACCTGGCCGCACGAGGGCCGCGCTTGATGACATAGGGACACGGGGGGAAGCGTTGCGCTGGAATGGCACCGAAGCGGCATAGGCTTGAGGCACGGGAGCGCGGATTGCATTGGCCTTGGCTTGAGCGCTGTTGTCCTTTTCGGCAGAAAGGAGCGCGGATGAGACCTTGGCAAATGTGAGGTCTGCAGGAGCAAGGCCCAAGAGCATCTTGCGTGTGACTTCGTATGCCGGAGTGAGGCCGACTAGGAGAGCGGCTGCAGGGGCTTGCTCGGGGAAGACTATCCCCAACTGTTTGAGTTCACCATGAATAGACTGCACCTTGGTGACATAGTCCGCCATGCCTGGCGAGTCCTCGAGCCGCACTTGGAACATGCTGGGGATGAGTATAGCAACTCTCACTGCAGTCTTGTTCAGGAAGCGATCCTCGAGGTAGAGCCAAATGGCGTTGGCAGACGGGTAGTTGTGGTAGGTTTCGACGAGTTCGGGAGGAGTGGTGCCCATGAAGACGCTAATGACCGCACCATCGGCCTTCTCCCAATTCTTGTACTTGAGCAGTGCAGCAGCATAAACTGCTTCGGCGGCGGCATTAGCTGGATCGGCGGACCTCTCGGGTTTAGGAGGCTCTTTGCCGTCACCGATGTTGAGAAGGACGTCGGTGAGCTCGAGCCCCTTCACCTCGCGACTGAGGAGGTGCTTGTCGACACCATAGCGCCAAGCCTTGTAGTTGGAGCATGTGCCGTCCGGCTCGAGACGAAGGAGCGGGATCGGGTTGGCGAGTGAAGTGGTTGAGTAAGCCATTGTCGGTGTGCAGCGCGGCACTTCTGGAAATTGGTCGACGAGAATTGCTGAAAATCACTCTGACGGCTGTATCAAAATGCCGCTAAGTAGGAAATGGCGTCGGCAAAAATTCGTTAAAACGACGACTTGAAACTGAATCTGAGCCTATGTCTAACCCCGGACCCACACACCCCCCCACAAACCCCCAGGCCCTGTCCCGCAGCTACACAACTCCGCAACCAGCTCCGCAACCAGCTCCGCAACCAGCTCCGCAACCAGCTCCGCTCCGCTTCAACCTGTGTGCCTGCTCTTGCTTAACGCGAGACGTTCGTGGAGGCGATTTCGCGAGGGGAGTTCGCCTATTCTGGCGGGGTCTGAGGGGAAACTCGAGAACGAGTTTTAAGAGATGGTCGAAATTGAGATTCGACCAAGGAGAACCGAGGAGGAAATCGATGACGAGAAGCGTGAACGCTTCAGAGATGAGAAATTCAACGAGGTCGAGCGCGAAGGCGGTCGAGGATGAGAGGCGCGACTGCAGAGTGGAGCACGTCGAAATTCCGATGACTCGAAACGAATGTCGCGACGATGAAGTGCGCGTAGCGCGGGCACGTTAAGATTAGGACCTTGATCCGCGTGTGCGGATAGGTCGCTCTGATACGATGTAAGAAATAGAGTTGAAATGATTGATTAGGTAAGGAGCCCAAGGCTCTATAAGTACGTGGCAAGGTGAGAGAGAATAGATGAAGGGGGAATTGGAGGGAATCCCCATTGGGATCTCCGGAATCTCCAATTGGGTAATTGGAGATTGTGGGGATCACAATTGGGTGAGGTTGGGATTTGTGAGTACACCCCAACCCACTAGAACATTCACAACCTAAACTAGTATATAAAAGTACAAATACAAAAGTGGTATTTGCAATCTATTTCTAACAATGTGGACCATTCCTAATCCATCACATGATCACCTCTGTCATAGCACATCTGCTACTGCCATAGGACTTGTGTTTCTGTTGGAATGCCATATGCAAAAGAACCTGAATGTTGAGGCTAAGTACCTAAATGCCTTGCCGATTCTTTTGTGAAAAGGTGCTTACCTTACCAATGCCTTTTCGCAACCAGGTTCGCTTTCTTGATAGCCTCGGTAGCTTGTTCATGGGTAGCCTTTAGATGCTTGACGAATGGTTGTGCTCATGGTACAATAGCTTGCGGATTTCGAGGCATGAACATCACTAGATCTTGACTGTAGGTGAGGAAGAACTGCGACTGTCGGGTTATGGCTGACGTGACGTTATTGTACGTGAACTCCATCATCGGCAGGAACTCCGTCTAGGTGGTCATATTGTTGCACGTGGTGCAAATCGGCTGCTCAAGTTTCTGACCGCTCTATCTGACTGTCGGTCTCCGGATGGTATGGCGACGTGAACTGTAGGCAGGTGCCGAGCTGATTCCAGGGTTTCCGCTAGTGAACTTGGTGTCACAATCGTTCATGATGGTGCTTGGTAACTACGGTAGCCATGAACAGCTTTGCTGTCTGCTCGGCAATGATGCTCTTCTTGCACACTGCGAAACGCGCCGTCTTCGTCAGCCGATCGACAAAGACGAACAGCGAGTCGTTACCACTCGGTCCAGCTGGTAACCCCGTGACGAAGTCCATCGACACCTGCTGCCAAGGTCGTCCAGGAGTTGATATCGGTTGGAGTTGGCCGGTGGGCTTTGTCCGTGGCTTCTTCATGACCTAGCACGTGGGGCAAATCGTCACATTTCTCTCCACACTGCTAACCATATCCGGCCATAAATAATACCGCTGCAGTTGCTGTCATGTTTTTTCTACACACAGATGCCCTCCGAGGCATTTTCGCCATAGGCTTCTTGCATTATCAGCTTCCTCAGTAGTAACTACTCTGATACCTAAATTCAGTTCATGCCAGCTTTTATGCAATACCATCCCTATGGCTGTGCGTACATCGCGAAGTCTCCTGAAACGAACAGTCGGTCTGTGGTGTAGCCGTGGATAAAGAGTCATGTACTTAATGGGTTGATCTTTACCAGCAATATCGCGAGGAGGTGGGCAGTCGGGCGAGTGAGGGCATCCGCAATATAAATCGCGTTCTTCTTGGATGTGAACGTGTAATGAATGTTTGACTTGAGGAACTCCAGCCAGCATGTACAGTGGCGGAAACAATTGTCCACATGCTTAGCATATTTTTACATTTTGAATAGGACCCTTTTCCTCACCAGATCTCAACCCGGATATTTTTCCCCACCAGTCACGACTACTTCGACTGCTGCACCGCTCAGAGACCTACGGATCCTAGCATGATTCTAATAGTGCAAGGATGCACTGTCAACCGTGCTATGTTACCCTAAGTTTCGTGGCAGATACGCAATTTTTCGCCACTCTGCTCGTAACTTTTACCTACAACGGTGCGATGAAGGCGATCCATGATAAGACGAGACCAATCGACTAATGGCATCTTTGGCCACACCTCAGCATGGCTAGTCTTAGAGATAACATTCAACATGAAATCGTGCACAGTACTCTTGCATACGTTCAAATACTTCGCGATTTTCCTAGTGCTCACCCCCTTATGCAAAAGCGTGGGTCCAGGAAGAGTGCGAGAAGATCCCTGTAAAGGTTTGCACTAACCTCGTAGATAACATGCCTAGGAGGGTGTAGGTGGTGATCAAGGCCAAGTGTCGGTTGACTAGGTACTAGTTTTGCTAGTAACTAGTTTGCTGCCTGTCCCCGGTACAAATTGTCCGGATGTGCTGTTATTAAATGTTGTCGTCTTGAAGGACCATGAAATATACTACTCTGGTTTTAGGAGATTTGAGTGAGTGCTCTAACTGCTCCTCTCTATGTGTATGGCCACCATGAATTAAGGCTTAATGTTTATAGCGTACAGCTCGTCAAAATGTAGAAATATGCTAAACATGTGGACAATTGTTTCCGCCACTGTATGTCACGTGTTCAACTATGGCTGTGCTCACATGGAATGCAGGATTTGTGATCGGTGCGAACTGTGATGTCAGTGCTTGTCAGGTAGCAGCGCCAGGTTTTGAAGGCGTGCGCAATCACCAACATCTTATTGTCATGTACTGGGTAGTTGTTCTCGAGTGGGTACAGCTTCCGTGATTCTGACGCGACAGGCTGCAGGCCTTCGTCGAATTCATGTAGCACGACTGCGCCGATGGCGATGTTGTTGACATCCCCAACTCGAATGGACAGTGAGGATCAGCAAGGGGAAGCACGAGTGGAGGTAAATTTTCAAGATAGCAAAAGTAGTCTGCTCCCTTCCCCCCCACGCATAATCAGTCCCCTTACGCAGCAGGTCCACGGAGCGAATAACCCTACCATATCGAGGACAAACTGTCAAACATAATTGACAAGCCCCATAAAACTCTGAAGTTCCCTCAGGTAAGTAGGCGGATTCCATGCGCGGATGGTATGGATAATTCTCAGGTTTATTTCAACGCTGTGTTCGGAGATGACATTGAAAAAAAAAAATCACAGCTTCATGCGTAAAAACTTGCACTTGGACCCCTTTCGGAAAAAGATGGTGCACTTGCAGTAGTGTGAAAACTGCTTCCGCGTGCTTCGCGTGCTCCTTTCGGGTGTTTTTGTAAATCAGTATATCATCCAGGTCGACGATAACACATTTATCCAGCTGTGGCCAGAAAACTTCGTTCATGGTTATTTGGAACGCGGAGGAGGCATTGGTCTGCCCGGACGACATCACTGTATACTCGTACGGGCAATATCTGGTTGTAAAGGCCGTTTTGTCGCAGTCCTCCAGCGCGACCCAGATCTGGTGGTAACCATCCGAAGGTCGACCTTCAAGAAGTAACATGCCTGGGCTGGTCGAAGAGTTTGTCAGCACACAGGATTGGGTAATGTGACTTGACTGTAAATTGGGTTCAGTGCTTGGTAGCCTGCACACAAAATGAAAAAACAAAATTAAAGTAGCATGTGCAGAGAACTGGATGAGTAACAGTGACAGAAATCAAGGCGAAATAAGCAGGCAAAAATACGCAAGTTTAAAAGATCTGGAACAACCAAGAGATCCAAGAGCATGATCGGACGGACCCGATTTGACGCAAGCAAGAGATATATACGATAGAATATAATCTCCCCATAATCAATCTTTGTCAGTGAAATTAGCCGAGGAGGAAATATAACTTTGAGAAGAAAGACTTCTCACGAGATGGGAAAACCTCATCAAGAATCGGAAAAGGGATGCATTCTTTCTGTGTATCTTGCTGGTGATTTTCTTGGATCTATAGTAAGATGCTTTAATGGTATATAGTAAGTTATATAGTAATTCTTTTTTGTATATGCTTTTTTGGCATCTAGGAAGATGCTTTAATGAAAACTAGTGATTTTCTTGGATCTAAGAAAATTTGGAGAGGGATCACAGTAGAGAGTAGAAAGCAATCGAGAACGTATTAGAGATGGAACACTTGGGAAAAGGCTATGAAGTGTGGAAATGAGACAGCCTTCCAATCTCAACACCCTCTCCTAGCACCAGCCACGCAAGTGTGGACCAGAGTGTGGGAGAGGACGGGAGAGAATGGGAGGGGGAACATAGCATGGGTGATGTGGGAGAGCATGGGAAATTGGGGGAGAGCATGGGAGCTGAGGCAAGAGCGTGGGACATGAGGGGAGAGAAGGAGATGAGGGGAGAGAGTGGGAGATGTAGGGGCTGCAAGAGAGATGGAAGGTTTGCATGCGAGATGAGGGGGGAGCAGCGGGCAAAAGGGGGGGAGGGGAGGAGAGTGGAAAGAGGAGATATGAGAGAAGGGAGTCACGGCACTGAGTCCAGACAATGGGTGAGGGAGAATGGAGGGGATGAGAAAAAGTAGTGGATGCCCCTCCAGAGGGTCTGGATAATGGATAGAGAGGGAGAGAGATAGGTGGGCATGGAGGGAGAAAGGGAGGTGGGCAGAGAGGGAGAGGGATACATTGGGGTGGGCAGAGTTAGAGTGGTGAACAGAGATAGAAAGGGGGGGAGAGGGAGGGAGAGAGATGGAGAGAGAGAGAGAGAGAGAGAGAGAGAGAGAGAGAGAGAGAGAGAGAGAGAGAGAGAGAGAGAGAGAGAGAGAGAGAGAGAGAGAGGGAGAGCAAGGACCGGAGGGAGTGCAGCAGAATGGAGATGTAGGCGTGGAGTGCACGTGGGGGGAGGGGGTGGGGGAGGGGGAAGGGTGAAGAGTGGCCTTGGTGGGAAGCCGACATGTGGCGTGGGAGGGAGGGGTGACGGGAAGGCGAGCTGGGAGTGGGGATATATGAGAGCATGGGCAAGGCATGAAGGGCATGCGGGGGAGAACGGAAGGGAATGGGTTGGTAGTAGCAGGGTGGGAGTGGATGTACGGTGGGAACAGCATGGGGGGGATATGGGAAGGGTGCTAGGGCGAGGAAGGAGTGGAGTGGCAGCAAGGAGTAGCGAGACAGTAGGAAACGAAATGATGTGAGTGAGCTCGGTACAAATTCTTAGCATTGCTATATAATATGTTCTCAATGCTTCTACTTACCTCGCAGTACTCAACCAGCGCTTGATCTTAACTTTTGGGTGTATCTTTATAGAATCGGTACTTTACCTAACGTTGGTATACAACGTCGGATGTGGTTCTTAACTAAGACTTGGTACTAAAAAGATAGCATTGCTACCTGACATGGACTCCATACATAACATTGGGAATGGTACTTACCGAAGGTGCAGTCCTCTATCCACGTTTGGTACTTATCGTTTGGTGGTTCTTACTGTAGAATCAAAACCTTAACTAATTTTGGTACTTAGCCTTGGAAGTAGTGCTTAACTGAGTCTCGGCACAAACATGTAGCATTGCTACTTGACGTGGACTCAGGACTTAACGTTAGGACTGGTACATACCTTAGAAGCGATACTCAACCCAATTTAGGCACTGAACGCAGGGTTTTTACATAATGTAGGCATTGCGGTTTACCTAACATGGGTACTTTCTCAGAAATTTTCAGAGTGGTACTTACCTGAATCACAGTACTTTCTCAGGTTGGAAGGGAGGGGGTTGTGAGCACCAATTCCAAGGGAGGGGGATCCCACCAAATGTGGTTGACGACAAGAATTAGGAGGTCCAAATAAGGTGGAACACAAATGGCTCCACCAACCCACTTCTAGTCCTTGCATACTTATGGTCCCTGTGTTTGGGGGCTCCAACCACAATTGTGTTGGATTGGAACCCCAACACAAGTGTACACCCAACAAGGGGTGTACACACAGCGTACTCTTGTAGCATAGCATGGTATATTCTAACACTCACCTGAGACTCGGTACAATGACTCAACACTTCTTTTTGACATAGAATTGTAAGGCTCTTTACTTACCTTAGATGTGGTACTTAACCTAATTGGCTACCTTTTTTGTTGTTGTCGCTTAATATAGAGTCAATACTTTTACCTTTAGTTAGAATGTTGCTTTGGAAGTGATGCTTACTTGAGACTCGATACTAATAGTGAGCATTGCTACTCGAAATGGACACAGTCCTAACGTTAGGACTGGTATTTTCCATAGACTCGGTGCACAACTGAACTCAAGTACTTACCTTATGGTTCTTACTTAGCCTCGTTAGTATACCTAACATTGGTTCTTAGCCTTGGAAGTGGTGCTTACCTGACACCCTGTGTTAACACTTAGAATTGTTACTTGGCATGGACTTGGTACTGAACGTAGAGATTGGTACTTTCCATAGACCCGGTGCTCAACCCATGTCAAGTACTTATCTTTAGGTTGTTACTTAGGCTCGTCAATTTACCTAAAATTGGTACTTAGTGTTAGAATTGGTGCCTCCCTAAGATGCGGTTCTCATGCTTAGAATTGCTACTTCGCATGGACACATTGGGACTGGTACCTTTTGTAGACCTGGTACTCAACCCAAAACAGAAAGTTACTATACCTTGAGCTTGATACTTAGTGTAGCCTCAGTAGTACACCAAAACTTGGTACATATCCTTAGAAGTGATGCTATTTTGAGACTTCTTACTAGTGCTTAAAATTGCTACTCAACATTGACACTGTACATGACGTTGGGACTGGAACTTTCCATAGTCCTGGTGCTCAACTCAAACCATGCACTTGTCTCTAGATTGCTATTGATTATAGGGTGAGTAGTTAAATAAATTTGATACTTAGGCTTGGAAGTGGTGCTTACAAGAGTCTTGGTACTATTAATTCGAAGTGATACTTAAAATAGACATGCTCCATAACGTTGAGACTGGTACTTTCCACAGAACTGGTGCGCACCCTATGTCAGATATGTAACGTTTGGTTATTACTTAGTAGTTTACAAAATATGGATACATGCCCGTGGAATTGGTGTTTATTTGACACTCAGTATGAAGAGTTATCATTACTACTTGAAATGGACCTCACGCTAGGTGTCAGGATACCCCAAACCAACATACTTTGGTAGCCGTCCTCTGACAGTTACTTGGTACTTTTGGTGATTCTTACTGTAAAATCAGAACCATACCAGCGGTTAGCTTATCTGTAACTTGGTACAAGCACTTAGCATGGCAATTTGGCATGGACTCGTTACATAACATAGGCCATTCAAATGCCCTAGATTTCTTCTCCAATAACGTTGGTTGTTACTTATTGTAGACTCGGTACCTTACCTATCGTTGGTACTTAACTTCGAGAATAGTACTAACCCAAGGCTCGATACTAATACTTAGCATTGCTACTCAACAAGGGCTTGGTCAAACATAAGTGACCGGTACTTTCAATAGACCTGGTTGTCAATGAACTCAGGTACTTTTCTTTAGGCTGTTACTAAGGCTTGATAATTTTCCTAACATTGGTACATAGCCTTGGAAGTGGTGCTTACCTGAGACTCAGTAATCATGCTTACAAGCATAGCAACTTGACAAGAACTCGGTACTTCACGTAAGGACTGGTACTAACCTAAGACACGATACTTAACATACGCTTGGTACTTATACATTGGTTGTTACTTACTGTAAAATTTGACCTTTACCCATCCTCGATATGTAGCTTCGGAAGTGTTGCTTACCAAAGGCTCGATACGAATACTTAGCATTGCTCCTTGAAATGGACACGGTACCCCATGCTAGGGATGGTACATACCTTTGACACACTACTCAACCATGTTTGGTACTTTCCTTTAGAATGTAACTTACAGTAAACTTATTTTTGGAAGTGGTGCTTCCCTGAGACATGGTAACAATGCTTAGCATCATGCCTTGACAAGGACAAATTCTTAGCATAAGGGCCGGTAACTACACGGTACTCAACCCACGTTTGGTACATATCATTAGGGTGTTACTAAGCGGAGACTCCGGCCGCTGATGCTACTGCTGCTGCTGCTGCTGTAGCTCCGAAATCATAGCTTACGACCACGCTTTCGAATGCTAGTAAAATCACTCGATTACGACCACTGCGCTATAACATTTGGCGCACTTGGTGGGTTTGAAAATGTACCCAACGCACATATGGTACGTGCCATTTGGTTGATTCTTATTGGGGAACTAGTAAATCGCCTCACATTGGTACACATAATTGGAACTTGTGCTTACCTCGGACTCGGTACACATACTTACCTTTGCTATTGTACATGGACTCAAAACTAACAAAACGACTGATACTTACCTTAGACGCGGTACTCAACCAACGTTTGGTAATTATCTTGAGGGTGTTGCTTACTGACGATTTGGTACTCTACGTATCATTGGTAGTTTGTCTTGGAAGCGGTTCTTACCTAAGACATGGTAAATTACCTAACATTGGTACAGAGCATTCGCAATGGTGCTTAGATCAGACTCGATACAAGTACCTAGCATTGCTACTTGACATGGACTCAATAAAAGGACTGGTATTTACCTTAGACGCGGTACTCACCCAGGTTTGGTACATACCTTGAGACTGTTACTTACTGCAAAACTGGTACTTTACCTAACCTTGGTCCTTAGTCTTGGAACCTGTTCTAACCTCAGACTGCGTAAATTACCTAACATTGGTACACAGCATTGGAACTGGTGCTTTCTCAGACTCGATACAAATACTTTGTATTGCTACTTGGCATTGACTCGGTACTAAACGTGAGGACTGGTACTTACCTTATAGACGGTACTCAATCCACGTTTGGTACATACCTTGAGGCTATTACATACTGCATAAATGGTTCTATGCCTACCATTGTTACTTCGTCTTAGAAGCAGAGCTTACCTGATACTCGGAACAAATATTGGAATTACTAACTGACAAAGACTCGGTTCGAAATGTAAGGACTCGTCATATTTTTAGATGTAGTTCTCAACCCACGTTAGGAATAACTCTTTTGGTTGTTCCTTTTTGTAGAATTGTTACTTTACTTGACATTCATACTTAGCCTTGGAAGTGGTGCTTATCGGAGACTCAATACAAATACATAGCATTGCTGCTTGACAAAGACTCAATAGTAAATGAAGGTTAAGGTAACCTTAGACGCGGAACTCAACCTACGCTTGGTACTTACCTTGATTTTGGTACTACAGAACTGGTACTTTACCTATCATTGGTACTTACTTTTGGAAGTGGTGCGTACCCGAGACTCGGTTGTAATACTTAGCATTGGTACTTGACAAGGACCATTGGTCTGCATCCTCCTAGCGCTAGCCCCATGCCCGATGTACTTGCTAGACAACGCAAAACCCTCTAAGCGGTCGACCAGTGCTGTGGTCGGTGTCTGTCTGTAGCCACAAAGTGAGCCAAGATGTTGAGAGGGTATGCGAGATCTAGGCGAGTGCAAGTCATCAGGTACATGAGGCAACCCATTAGCTCTGCGTAAGGACCACTAGACTCTACAGACTCCTCAGGGACTAGAGCCAAGAGCCTGTGATCTACTGGCAGAGGTGTGGGCTGTGCGGAGGAGAAATGAAGACCGAACCTCTGAAGGACCTGGCGCACCAAGTGTGACAGTGTAAGAGTGATGCTGCGTGCTGCTCTGTCCTTGGCGATCAGCAGGCCAAGGTAGCGGCACAGCTCTCCTCGGTCAGTGCAGGTGTGTCTCCTCAGCAGCTCAGCCTTCATGGAGGCTAGTGCTTCTCTGTTTGCAGTAGCGAAGACCACCACCGGCTTTTGGCCCGCTGTCCACCTTGCACTGGCACGCTATCCACCATGCACTGGCACGTAACTCTCTTTCAGGCGCATTGGTAGGTGCTGCTAGATTCCACTGCTTCCTCAACCTACCATACCCTGTAACTCCACCTACCCTATGACTCCACCTACCCTGTGACTCCACCTACCCTGTGACTCCACCTACCTTGTGGCACCTCCCCTGCAGTTCCCCAGAGTTAATGATGTTGGTTTGTCTACCACCCATGCGAGCAGGAATCTAGGCTACAATAATCTCACTGGCCCGATTCCAGCCGGAATCGACAACCTTGCTGCCCTGCAGTCCTTGTAAGCCTTGCCCTGTGGGCTGCTGCCGCTGCTGCTAAGTTAAGAGGCCGTGTGTTGTCCGACATGTCAGTCCATTGAAGGGAGTGCTTGTGTGGACATAAATGGGACTTGTAGCTGCCTGGGGGGGAAGAGGGGGGGGGGATCA